ACTGGGTGGGCGTGGCTAGGGGGTCATGTGACTGGGTGGGCGTGGCCAGCTCGCTGTCACTCACACCGAGGGGCGCCTCGCCAGCCTCTACTCGCCCCTCCCAGTCACTCCTCGCCTGCCCGCCCGGGCTCCTTAGGGCCCCAACAGGAAGCAGTTGCTGGAGCTAAGCAGCCCCCAGGAGAAAGAGTTGGCAAAACATCTCAGTTCAAATTGGATCTGACTGAGAAGGAGGCTCAGCAGAAGCACCGCACTGAGGACTAGGAGCATGGTTTTTCCAAGCAGAGGGAAGGCCTGCGGGAGTGGCAAGGCCAGGTGCCGGCACCTGGAGGCTCAGCGGGCTGAGATGGTCAGCCAGTTTCAGGCCAGGATGCAGCCCCACTGGAACGAGGCCCTCCGGCTCTTCCCCACCAGCGGCTCTTCCCTCCAGCCTTCGCCCAAAGCCCCACACCAGGAGGCTGAAGCAGACCCCCAAGTCGGAATTTCTGCCCCCCTCCGACCCGCACAAAAAGACCCCAAAGGGGGAGACTCTCTGCAGCAACACAAGCGTTCATTGCACGTATCCATCCCAGGGGACGTAGTTTGAGGACTCCTGATTTAGTGCAATGCAAAAAATGCAAATAGTTTTCCTGCAGATCACCAAAATTTTCTTGGTGGTCCATGGACTACCAGCTGGTGACCGCTGGTCTACATCGCAACTACTATTGTGGGATGGATTTCATACAATTTCGTGGTAGGAATATGAGACTTGGAAGGATTTGCCTTACCAAACCTAGTTTCTCAATTTATGTGTGAAACTTCAAAATAGAAATATCAATTCATAATGTGGGCTAAAAATACAATACTTGATATAAAGCTACACCTAAAAAATTAATTCTGATAGAAATACCATATTTCCCCATTATTGGAAAAGTCTCCTCATCAAATTAAGAAACATCTCTCTCTAATTAAAATACTCATTGTTGCAGAAAACTCTTATCCAAGGCAACAGTTACAAATCATCAAACTCTTCTACATCAAAAATTCTTAGGCGTCACCTAAAGAAGTATGAGCAGCCACAAAACGTTCATAAGTGGGTAAAACCATCGAGGTGTGTGTGTGGGTCTTAATTAAAATATCTGCTTTTTTGACAAGGTGTCATATAGATCATTTTAAAACTATAAAAACACTATTTTAAAAGCCACTGCAGCTAAATACACTCCCGGGTATGACCCAATAGTGAGGGAAGAAAGAATTATCTGGATTTAAAATAATAATAATAATAATAATGAATTTTAGTGTTGTTATCAGGTTTCGCCAGAAGAGGGCAGGCAAAGCTCAGATTCCCTTTTCCTTCCTTAAATCACCATACTGTAAATAGAAATCGAAGCAGGCTTGCAAAAATTTCTTATTAGGAAGCTCCTTGTTGTCCACGGATGCATTTCCTATCTCCCTTTAATTCACAAGAGGTCCTGAATGGTAGCTGATTTCTGCAACCCATTTCATTTTCACTTTATTTGTATGCCGCCCTTTTCCCTGGGGGGACTCAGGGCGGCTCGCCCCACAATCAAATGGGTTTATTGTAAACTTGCCATGCTGTTTAATCTGACATTGTTTCTGCTTTAACATCTTTTGCTGAAGGATCTCAGGGATTTAGAGGTAGTTGCCGGGTACGGAACGATAATAAAATCATAGTACTTTGTAATGGAATTCATGCAGCCATCTCCGAACTATCTAGCTCATAAATCATTAACTCCAGTCTGGCATTGCAGATTTCAAAAGAAAGGGAGTTACAAGGCTGGTGGTGGGAACAGGAAGGAAAGCAGGACAGTTAAGGTGATGGAAGGCATAATCTCTCGTCATTGTGCACTCCTTGGTAATTTCCCCCCACCAGGATCTTCAGATGGGCTCACCTGCCAACAGACAAGGATGGCATCGCCACAAAAGCATCACCTCTGAGATGCTTTTCCATCTCTCTTTTACGTTATATTTTATGCCTTGCAATGGAAAAAAGGATGGGGTGATTTGTGGACAGGATCCCCAGGTCCCCGATTCGCTGTATCACCCCACTGAAAAGCCACGGCTGCAGTCTCACAGGCTACATCTGAGTAAGCCACCTGGAAATTTATTCTTGTCCCTCCTTTTGTCTTGCATGCTCGGGCTCCCTGTCTATTTAAATCCTTTTCGAAATGCCTCGGCTCTTCCCCTGCCACCGAGCCTCTCTGCTCCAGAATAGCCGGGATGTTCTCCCCCCCCCCCCTGGTTTCCTTTTCTTCTGTTTCTGCTGGCTGGCAGGAAGGAAAAGCAACATTCGATGTATAGGAATCAGTTTTTTAATATATATATATATATATATATATATATATATATATATATATATATATA